TAATCAATTTATTCAATTCTTCATCTTAGTATTCCACATCCGTTAATCGTAGGCTTCTGACGATCATGTTCCTCATTATTCCTATCCTTATCCTGTGGTTTTGATGATACTTGAAATGAAATATTAACCCGGCTTATGACTTATTTCTGATTAGTTTCTTCTTCAGCTTCCCATTAGAGGGAATCACTTCAAAAGTTAAGACAGGTTATCTCTCTATACTTACATCCTGAATTTAATTTTGTTATCAATCTGGTTTTTAAACTTCAGACAATCTTCAATGTGACCAAAGTGCAAAGTAAATATCCATGTACCGCATGAGCACCTTTTGTTGTAGCGTTAATATTTTATTTTTGTTCATGTATACATTTACCAAAAGCAGTTAAAGCGACGAACCCATGGGAAGTCCAAATATTTTTTCATATATGTTCCCGTTGAATGTAAAATAGGTTGTCCTTATTCTCAAGTTGATTAGTCTTGTTAACGACTCCCTACCGATCCGTTGTGATTCCAGGAGTTCCATCATGGCCGTTAGCCCATTTTCTCCAGAGATATTTCTATACATGGATTCCACATCGAAACTTAACAATAAGTCTATATCTTCCCGTGCCATGCGTTTTATTATTTTGAGAAAATTCATATGAATGTTTCTCCGTGTTTGGTAGCCTATCATTTATTTTCTGGGGTTTAAATTTGTCAATTTGTGTGTTGCTCCATACTTGTTGTTGACTATCAGCCTTAGTGACTCGCCTTCTTTGTGTACCTTCGCTAATCCGTAGGCTGTTGTTGGTCGTGCATCCTTTCTTATGATTGAATTTCTTGTCCATGCCCCAATTTCCCCGTTCCTATGCTTATCTTTCAGCATGGCACTTAAGATTCCATTAATCTTCATAGTTGGGTCCTTGTTTAATTTACGATATGTGGTCCTGACTCGTAGAATATGTTCCATCTTCTCGCTATTTTGTTTTTTATCCATTATCACTTTCGCACTTCCTTTATCTGCCTGAAGGACTAATTGTTTATTTGTTTCCAGGGTCTTGCATATCCTGGAAAATCTTTTCTTGTGTGTCGGCTCTCGATGTGTCAAGATCTTTTGAATTAGTTCGATCTCCATTTCCCGCACATTTTGATTAGTGGAAAGTAAACAAGTTAGCAGTTGTGATAGTGCGGGAAATGGATGCTAAAGAGTAGATAGATGGGCCAGGACAGAAAGTGTATCCATTTTTTGCAGAAGGTTGGTCGAGAGATTGATTTTACTTTTTTCTGACGAGTTCGTAGTTTTGTGCGAAGAATGGTGGCACTCATTGATGATTTCGATTATAATGCCGGAGAAACGTCACATAATGTACCAATTCTATTGTCTGATACTGGGAATTATGATAACTACCAGAGTACTTTAGACAAGGGGCGTTCTTCTCAGTTACCCTGACAACAAGACCAAGTTGCTACAACGAGGTCAACCCACAACTATAAATCGAACAGAGATTGCGAACATACCAAGGGCCACACCATTTCGGTCTTTATATTTTTCTATATCTACATACTAGATAGACTTTCGGGTATTCATATAAAATATTGATCTTCACATCTTTAGAGTCCAGAAGAGCCTGAGGTCTACTTGAATGAGACATCTTGGAAGCGTTATATCAGAAGAGTCAACGCTGATTCAGGTAATTTTAACCTTAAATTGTTTTAATGTGCTGATTTGTTGGCTTATTAGCATGATTTTATATTTACCAACATTATAATATATTGCAATTAATAATCCTTCAGTAGCCTTCATTTGTCTCAGTCCCCTACTTAAATTATCTCCTTCATTCATATTTATTTAATCGACGTCTTCGTTTATTATTATGTATTTGGCTTCGCAACATTTTGTCAAAAGAGATAATATTTCAAGATTATTTGATTATTGGCTATTAATTTTCATTCGTCATAAGTGTAGTGCTCCAGAGTAACATTTTTGTTACTGTTAGCTTCACAATTAGCCAGTTATTGGTCATCCATCTACATAAATATAACATTACTCAGAACGTGACTCATCTTTATTTTTTCTTACTGCGACCTCGCAAATTTATAGATTGCAGCGTGTCTTCTTGTTGAACTAATCAGAACATGGTATTCAAAGTATTTGAAGCCCAAAACCCTATAGAAGGGCTACTGCTATTTTTATGAGGTGTTTAAAGAGGATAAAGGACTAGTTGTTGAATTTTCCTACGATGATATGAGTAGAGCTGACGTTTCCATTGCATTTCACGTGATCTTGCTCTCTCAAAAGGTGTTCTCATCCAAGGCGGACTGCTGTTACCACATCGCATAAGTCTTATCCACACCTTAAGTGGGAGTCGAAACATGACAGTGCAGCGTATAAGCTTGATGCATTAATCACTTCGCCACATTGTCACGAGTGCATTCGAGTCAAAGGGCAGATGCGAATTTCAAGGAATGTCGGGCATTTTCCATATCACATTCTGTGCTGTGATTATAGATAAAGCAAACTTATATTTGCCATAGCAATCGGCAACTACTCATTTCGTGAATGAGTAGATTTTTTAGAATTCTAGTAAATATTTTATATTAGATGCATTCACCCTACTTCAGTTAAGATGATGAAGGACTTGTAGTTGAATTTTCTCACAATGCTATGAGTAGAGCTGATGTTCTTATCAAATTTTATAACTTCCCCGTGACCCAATTGCACTCATGACAATCTGGCGTAGCTCAAAAAGGCACGTTACTACATGTAAATAAGGAAAGAAAAATTGTTATATGGAAGGCATGATACGAGGATATAGAATAGGTGAATAGCCCAGGACAAAAGGAGAGATACCACAACTGTTTATCACACGTTTGGTCAAAGGATCGGCTTCATTTTTCTCTTTGACGAGTTATAGTGTGATGCTAAGAATGACAAGCTCACTGACGATGCCGTTGAAACGTTTAGGAATGTACCACGTCTATAGTCCTATTATTGATATTATCACGCACGCAAAGGAACTCTGGACTAGGTGAATTCCTCCAAGTCTTCCTACCAATATGACTAAGTTGTGAAAATGAGGTCAAACTACATCTTTGGTTGCACTAGTTTACTTGAGCTCATTTAGCCACTGATATCTATGCTTTCTATTTATTTATTTTTTCAAAGTTTAATTTTCCTTTTAATTATATACTTTATTTTGACGTGGCTTCATGTGAATCACAGTTATCTTTTATTTCATTCCTCAGACATGAAATCCTAGGATGCATTTTATGATTTCTATCCTATTATGAGTTTTATTCTTACCCTCAACTTTCCCATTTTCTCATTTTTGCCTTTCAAGAATTTCCTATTTTATTACTTTAGTAAATCTTATTTAGAAGCCTTTACTCAATCACAATTTATTGTTTGTTACATGTGTTTTTTTATTTGAGTAGTGTTTTCCGTTCTAACATTTTATTTCTTTATAAAGCAAATTCTCTTCCTGGCTGGATTATGCTCTATGACATCATTCGCGGCATGCCACTCGGCCTCTACCTACACCTAAGCCTTCCACGCGGATTGCCCCGTATTCTTTGCGAATGGCTCGATATCCCATTGCTCTATTTTGGTTCATTGAGCGGACAAACTTCGGTTCTTTCTAATAGCCTCGAAAAACGAGAACAAGATGAAGACGATTTTATGGAGGATGAAGCAGTTTCGGCCACTGATGATGAACGGGAAACTGACATGATATCAAAGTTGCAGGGTTATGCAAGCAGGGGTAAAAATCCTAGTTATTGTGCGAACGTGGGACAGACATACAGGAAAGGAACTCCTAGAAGGCCTCAGCTGCGTTCCAGCCGTGGAAAGACCTCAGCTCTTAGCCCATCTAGAGACCGTGTCCAAAGTGCTGCTGAGACGGATTCGCCTGTTATCACTGCGCCATTTCAAATGATCGCTCGCCTGTCGGATCATGTACGCCGGTTCGGCGGCCGCTTGCCTTGTCGTAATCCGAAGGCCTTGCACCGTCTTGTCACACCTATATGTCAGATTAATCTTCCAGGAGGTGCCTGGGGCAGTCTCGGGAAATGGCTACTTAGTCGGAATCATATACGCAAAGTAACTCGAGGCATCGAAGAGCTGGCGCATCAAAACCTCGTTTCCATCGGTGAAATGCCGGCTTGGACCTCCAAGAATTTAGTGCGTCTGCTATCCCCTTTCTTTTTATTGCATAATTTCTTACTCGTGTCTTCTTATTTCTTGTCCTTGACTTCAACAAACTTTTTCTTAGGATTACTTTTTTATTCCGTATACTAGAATTTGTTGAACCTGGACTCTACTCATAGAAACTCTTTTATTTCCCTGTTGAGGTAGCATCACTTAATATTCGGGCTCTGATGATATTTTAAATGATATGCTCGTTGACTAGGAATAAAAGTTTATTTAATAATAATCTTATTTGAACATTATCTTCCTGAATAAAAGAATGGTACTTAAAATTGCAGATTATGGAAAGCTCTGAAGTATTTTTGTTTAAGAGAATTTAAGACGAGCTTTTTCTTGTTTTCATATTGATTACATGGTAGGATTATTTAAGTTTAATTTCTTCAAGATATTTTCTGTTCATTGTTGGTTTCATGATGGTACAATGAATTTTCACTCGTAAATTTCAGACTCAGCTTTCAAATGACGTAGTCTACTCGCATCTAGGCTTTTATCTATGCATTTAACCACAACCTAATCCTTATTTTTCATTATTTCAGTTGGCGATTTTTATTCATCCTCGAGCAAGCCTCCTAGATACTCGATATGCTGCACCTGGTCGCCGAGTATTGACTGACATAAGCAAATGTGGAAAGCCGCTCAGCTTTGAGTTCACTTCCCCTGAAGAGGTTATCAGGTACTGGAAGACATGTGAGCTCATATCGCAGGACACTCCACTCGGTAAATTGCTTATAATATTGTCATGTCACTTATCTTTTACATATCAGTGATTATATTTCAACCGACTGTTATTTTTAAGGAGTGATAGCAAGCAAGAGATTTTGCACCAGTTAAGACTGATACGAAGATTTGAATAGTTACACTTATACTGGGGAGATTAATTTATTTCAATATGTATTTAGCCGTCGTTTTAGTTTGTCGTTTATTAATTTTGATTACAAGATTAAAGTCATCTGGTTTAATAGGCTACCGCTTCTATAGTCTGCATGCTCTTCTAAACGCTTTCTATGATTGATCTTGAATATTTGTCTTAATATTCTTGATAATTGCTCTTTTTTCTTGCTAATCATTGTGTCTGCTCACAACCATAATTTACCTTGAAGCTCCTTACTTATAATCCATAGTCATTAATTAATTAATTGCTTATGAACCTTATCTATTCTAAAGGAATATCTATCTATCTATATACACTTTCTAGGGTATCGATGTGTCAAAGATCCCATCGATGTGTGCCGCTCTGTTTTGCCGAATCCGTCCACTACTCCTATTTGCCCATGTCCTTCAGCTATTGGTGACCTGCCAAAACCTGTATGGCATGAGACTACATTCGCTCGCCTCAAAGAACTTGGCCTTATAGTGATTGATCCCACCTCCAGACCCCCTGTTGACACCGAAAGTGCTATTTCCGCCATTGATTCTATCTGCAACTCGGAAAGCCTAAGGGCCGAGGCAACAGTATCAAGCCCATTGGGGCACACTACCAATCTCGCTGTTCTATCTTCGACCACCAGCAATGATGTTATCCCATCAAGTTCTCCAGCCCACACTTGCCTAATTTACGGTGCATGTGGATTTCATCCACTCGATTTCTGTTTTATTCCACGCAACTGGACTGAGCAGCGCCTCGGTTACGCTGTAATCACGCCAGATAGTTCTGTGTACAAGGCTTTGGCGAAGATCGAAATGAACATGCAACAGCAGTTCCAGAAGGCTCAGCGGCAACAGAGTTTGCAAACAAGGTCGATTCGTCGGTGTCGTAGTATTGCCTCAAAGCCGTCGGTGTTATCGAAGCTCCCCTCTAGCATGCGAGAACTGCCATCTGTTCAGCTACCTGTACCTCCCTTGAGCCTTCAAGGTCTTACAATCAAACTGATTTCCAGTTTGTCTTCGTTAAAAGGAGCAATAGTTGCTATCCTTGTGGAGCATGGCAATTGTTCATGGGCTCCACTTTCGCGTCGCCGTTCGCGAATGGTGGTCACAGAAGAGGGTGAAGACGAATTTGAAGGAGACTACGATGGAGAGGACGGATATTTTGAGCAGGATGATGATTATTATAATGAAGAGGATGCTTGTTGCACTTATAAAGATCAAGAAGAAGTGGAAGGTGAGGAAGGGAGTGTCTTAGATGAGATACAAACTAAACGGGAGGGAAATGGACAGATTAGTACTGGTTGGAAAGGCAATCTGAGGTCATCATCCAATTCTAACTTTCCGACATCATCCTTGCCAAAGGACTTAAATGGCCAGATCAAATTCAAGCAACAACATATGCTCAATCAATTAAAGGCTTGGCTCCACCTGCTGAGTCATAAGATTCGCGCATCACAAGATGTCTTCTGGCCCTGGCCAAATAGACTATTTGGCAAGTCTTTTTTGCTTATTTATCTTCTACATCCATTGACATGCTTTTTAACATAAATTTAAAGAGGGTATGAAGACCAAAATGGTATGGCCGTTTGTGTGGTCACAGTCTCCTTTCGTTGTATAGAAGTTGTTTGACCTTGTTTTTGCAACTTGGTCATATTGGTAGGAAGATTTATAGGAACGCACCTAGTCCGCAGTCCATTTTATGCATGATAATTTCCAAACTCGGACTGCGGACTTGGTACCGTCCCAGACCTATCGCAGACACCGTATTCGGCATTGTCAGTGAGTCTTGCTATTCATACCATACTACAACTCGTCAAAAGAGACAAGCGATGCTAATGTATGGTAAACAGTTGTGGTATCTCTTCTGCCATGGGCTATTCACCTATCTTATATCCCCTTATCACGCCTATCACTGTCACTTTTTTTTCTTGTTTATTTTAATCTAGTGTGATGTGCCCTTTTGAGCAGCTTTCGTGAAAACCCTCCACTCTCCATGTTCGCATTCTCACCTCTCTTCACTCTTGTGCTGGGAATGTTTAACAGAATCTGCCATGTTTTTACGCAGTCCTTCCATATGTATTATCAGAGTCTCCCTCTTGCCCCTAAGGATCTGTCTGGTATCTCTCTGGTTCAAGTATTTCAATCGACCCCTGCCACTCGTTATTTTCCAAACTTTATGTCTGGCAGATTAAATTGAGGCTAAAGCCCCTATTTAATAAAAAAATACAATATTCATATTACTGATACCTGCGTGTCATAGGTGTGGTCGTTATCAAGACAAACCAGAGTCGTCTAGTGTTGCTGAAACTTATGGCAATAAATCATAGATAGGGCCGCCTCTATTATATATATTATTAAAGGCACAGATATTGATACTATATTTTCGTATTGGAGTAGTTTTGAGATTACCAGTAAATAAGTAACATGAGAGGTATTCGGCCTATTTAGTCTAAGGTGATAAGGGACGGTAGTCTAATTTTCCCACAATGAGTAGAGCTTGCGTTTCCATTGAATTTCACATTGCCTTGCTTTCTCAAAAGTTGTTCTCATCCAGGCTGGACTGTAGTTTCGACCTCGCATCGGTCTTATCAACACCCCCAGCACTGTCACAGTTCTACTTCCGCTAGGGGTGTTTATAAGACCGATGCGAAGTCGAAAATGCAGTCCACTCTGGATGAGAACAACTTTTGGAAAAGTAAGGCAATATAAAATTCAATGTAAACGTCAGCTCTAGCTTTCGTCAGTCTGGTTACAGTTATCTTCCGAGCGAGGACTCATAGTTTAAGAGAGATAAAACACCAAATAAACTATTCTAATAAACAAGGATGGTTCGCTTTAATTACACTAAGATCATATACTAAACTTTGTGTTCGCAATTTGGCGTTCCATGAGTGGATAGGTTTTTTTCTGCCTAATATACATTCCTGCAGAGGAGTGAGGTTGGCGTATGGAAAGGAAGTGGATGTTGTAGCAGTTGTTTGCTGGCCTAAATAATCAAACATAAGATCTTGCTTATTGTTATGCATAAGCAGGAATCAAGTAGTGCTCATTCTGTGTACTTGGTGTCCGAGGAATGTAGTTCAACATTGGACTTAATCAAATCAAGTACAACCACAACATTTGTGGGTTGGTACACAAGACACTAGGGCATAGCAAGTCATAGACTTGGTATTACTCGCACATCACTTTAAGTCTAGTTTTCTGGTGATGTTCTCCAATTAAAATAACCACTTTTGCTGTCTAGTTTAATTGTATACTTAGTATATGAGACTTCGGGGTCGATCGTTGGGTCCTATTGTGTGCGACCCCCCTATTTTTTTCTTTTCTTATGATTTGGTTTTTCATTTAGGTGTATGAGTCTATTCGAGTGGGAAGCTCTATTTTAAAGTATTGCTTTCGAACAAGTTTTCTACCGGCCTTCCCAAACGTAATGAAAGGTATGCCAATATCCATCTGATTTCTTTAGTCCAAGGGCCCTTGAGTTAGTACAGTCTAATTCCAGGATAGTTAAATTAAAAAAAACTTGCTGGCTCACTTGAAGCTTTGAGCTGTTATTTGACCTAATTAATGCTAGTTCTGGCTGTTTTTTGCTTTAGTGTTTTGGGTGCTGAGATGCACACTATTAAAATCTTATATAATTTTCATATCTTTATATTTTGGTTGTATTCAATTGTTTGATAAAAGTTTA